TATTCCCTATTGCAGGTTCATAGGAAGAAAATAATTGCGAACAATGTGTCTGTTGGGCCTGCCGCGGGTCTGCGGTCAGCAATCTGCCAGTTTGCCGGTGCAATCGAACCGCGTGGCGCTTTGCCTGTTCTATAAAAGGGGAAGGGCGTGCTACACTATCAGCGATTGCTTTTAGTGTAGCGGTAAGGGCAACGATCCACAATTGGTATCAGAGCCAGAGATCACGGGTTCGACCCCCGGCAACAGCATGCTGCTCAGTTGTAGGCTGACAGGTGCTTGGGGGGAGATTGTTGGGCCTGCCGCGGGTCTGCGGTCAGCAATCTGCCAGCCTGCCGGTGCAATCGAACCGCGTGGCGCTTTGCCTGTTCTATAAAAGGGGAAGGGCGTGCTACACTATCAGCGATTGCTTTTAGTGTAGCGGTAAGCGTAACGATCCACAGTGTCATATGATTCGTAGCCCCAGAATCAATGATCCAAGAACTCGAAGGAGTGGAGCAAACAAAAGCGGTAGGAATACCTTTCTGGGCTGGAGCAGGGGAAGAAGATGAATTAAGTGTGAATTGTGGAGAGTTAAAAAGCTTATACAGGTGTTGTAGTTGTTCCTGAGTGAAAGGTAGTGGTTCTGGAGAAGCTGTTTTTTCTTCAGAAGTTTCAGCCATGGCAGCAGTAGCTCTCCTGTCCCCCTTCTTTTTTGTAAACGATGGTTTCCCATGAAGCTTGTAGCATTTATCCTTTATGTGCCACAACTTCCCACAGAAATCACAAGAGAATGGCATTTTCTTGTCACCTGCACCATTAAAACGCTTTGAAACCAAAGCCATGTTGTCGCTCTCTGGAATTGAGGGAGCATGGTCATACATCACCCTTTTTCGTGCCTCTTTCTGGCGAAGTTCAGAAAAAACAGTCCCGACCGTTGGTAGGGGCTTACGGCCAAGAACTCTTCCTTTAGTTTCGTCAAAACTGTGATTGGCGCCAACAAGAAACATGAAGACACGATCATCTTCCTCTCTGCGTTTTGCACATACAAGATCTTTTGGATTTTCCCAAACGTCATCATTATAGCATAAATCCAACTCCTGCCACAGAGAGAGCATCTCATTGAAATAAGTAGTGATGTCTCTGTCACCTTGTTTAGAGAGCCAAAGTTTTTTCTTCAACTCAAATATTTGAGATGAATCGCCACGATTAGAGTATGCCTCACGAACAGCATCCCATATATCCTTAGGATCCATATACATGAACGGCCGACGGATCCGTTCGTCCATGGAATTGAGCAGCCAACCAGCAATCAGGGAGTTGGCAGATCGCCATCGCCGGAAAGAAGGGTCAGTTGGTGCAGGTTCTGGTTCTTCTCCAGTTAAAAAACCAAACTTGCCTCGTCCGTCTAAGGCAATCTTGACCGATTGAGCCCATTCTGAATAGTTCTGACCATTAAGCCGGACCATCGTAATTTGTAAAGCCTGAAACGAGTTAACATCCAGACTGGAAGGAATTGGTGATAGGGTTTGTGGGTCAGATGATAGACTCGACATGCCAGAATCTTTGGACATGATTAACCAGAGGAATAGTTACAAAAATAGATCCGAAGAGAAGAGTGAAAAAAAAACTCAGAACGCAGTAGGGCAATTAACAGGAATCAAACCCTAAGGCTCTGATACCATGTAGTTTTATATAATATGAATCTTCACTCTACTGAATTATAATAGATGTACAAAGACCCTATATATATACAGGGAGAATCCTCTTCAGAAAGAAACTCTATTCTAAGGAAACTAAATCTCACAGAATATGGAATCTAGATCTGAGAGAATAAGGAAACTAGATCCCTGAGAATAAGGAAACAAAATCAAAGATAATTACACATTATTTGACAGAATATCTATCTAAATCTACAATGACAGATTAGTCCAAGCTGATGTGGGAGTCACAAACTCCTCTGTGTTTAAACGCATGGAAGAAAGGGGTGTTTTAGTTTGGGGAAACGGCTGTTGGACGGGAGAGTTAGAGGGTGGTTAAAAGTAAAGGAAAATGTTTTAATTTGTATTTTTTTGGTCCACTTTAAACCCTAGTGTCTTATCTGAGATTCATTAAAAATCATAGTGTCATTTTTTACCCTTCTCCCTACATAATAATATGGTGCGTTAATAAGGAAGGACATGAGAAAACTTCAATAGGAAGCAGAAAATGGAAAAAGAAATTGAATCACCCTCAGGTCTGGGAAATCTCTTTCTTAAACTCTTTATTAATCCTGGTATGCCTCCTCCCTGTCAATTCCAAAACTTCAATCCAGGATCATGCCTCCGTTTCAATTGGGATTTTACACTGAGATAGTTCAAACGACAATAAAGGGCACCACCAAATTGAATTCAAAATTCCAAATTAAACAAAATTAAATGAAACTGTGGATCGTTGCGCTTACCGCTACACTAAAAGCAATCGCTGATAGTGTAGCACGCTCCTCCCCATTTATAGCACATGCGAAGCGCCACGCGGTCTGATTGCACCGGCAGGCTGGCTGTTGCTGGTACCGCATACCCGCGGCCCAACAGCACCTGCCAGCCTACAACTGCGCAGCATGCTGTTGCCGGGGGTCGAACCCGTGACCTTGGCTCTGATACCAATTGTGGATCGTTGCGCTTACCGCTACACTAAAAGCAATCATTGATAGTGTAGCACGCCCCTCCCCCTTTATAGCACATGCGAAGCGCCAGGCAGTTCGATTGCACCGGCAGGCTGGACAATTGCTGGCACCGCATACCCGCGGCCCAACAGAAACTATTAAATGAGAAAAAATTCAATACTCTAAGACGGAAACTGAACAACGTGAAGTGATGGCAGAGACGGCTAAATACAATGTAGCGACTAAAGGCTTGGACTTTCACGAAAGTAACGGAGGAAAATAAGAGCAAAAATGTATGGTATAATGATGGGAACATAATGTACAAGGACATGTTGCTTTGTGTTACCACCAACACATTTTACGTACCAAAAATACTCAAACCCTCATTGGTGTTTAACATTTTAGATTAGATTAAAAACCAGAATTGGGTAAGTTACAACAAGAAAAAAATTGGTACATCAATCACCAATGTTCAGGGGCGGAGGCAGACTTCAATACTAGGGGGTCAGAATATAACATGTATTGAAAAATTATATTTAAAATACATAGTATATTTTTTTAATAAAATTAACAAAAAAACATGAAAATGATTAAAATTGCCGCATACCGTAACTTCAACTTTAGTTTTAGTATTAATTATTACACATTTCACTCAAGTAAAAAACCAAGTGTTTAATAAAAAATGAATGATAAGACTCAGAACTATTACGAAATTAGTTTTTCCTAAGTTGAAATATAGGAAGAATTAGTTTTTCCTAGAGTAAATATTTACATATTAGGACCTTTGTTGAAATTAATTTGTCTTTGGCCGACTTGCACTCCACACGCAGGGTAAAGTTTTTAACTGAGCCTTGCATTTTTATGTGGGGCCTTTCTTCCCTTTTTTTTAATCCCGAGAATCACCGCTGTATGGTGTGGTAAATGTCGGAGAACGTTTACCGCTCTATTTAAAAGAAAGAAAAAAGCAAAGGTTACAAATTTAATTTGTTTTAGGCATCAAACAAAGAATAATTAAATAAGGTTATTAAAAAAAGTTAGCTAGGAAAAAATATAATAGTAAAATAAAAATCAGTGTAACAAGTACACTGAATATTCAGTGTAAAAAAAATATTCAGTGTAACTTTTTTTCCAAAAATATTATTTGTACCGGCTCAGTGTCCTAGCTCCGCCCCTGAATTTACATATCTCCTCCCATGTTAATGTTCGATCAATACAAGAACAAATAAGTCAATTGAAATAGACTTTTCATCATCCATCCTGGTCTGCATGCTACTGAAAACTAGTAAAAATAGGAATAGATCGGGCCCGGTCCGGTTCTGGGTCGGGCCCGAACGGGCTTGGAATTTTTTGGGTTAGGCCCGAGACCGGCCCGAGAGTCTACCGGGCCAGGCCGGTTCTTTAATTTCTTTTAGGCTTTCTTATTTATTCGCACCCCACCCCCAAACCCCGCCCCAGCCCACCTACCATAGGCCCAAACCCAAAATAACAAAAAAAAAAAAAGACCCAAGCGGCCAAGCCGGTCCCCAAATATCCAACCCGGAACCGCCTCCTTAAAACTCTCAGGTCAGGCCTAGGCCCGAAACCGATTCCGATTCACCAGGCCAGGCCGGTCCCGCACAGTAGCGGACCGGTCCGGTTCCCGGACTGGTCAACCCGGACCCAGGCCAACCCTAAGTAAAAATACAAACAAAACCTTATTTGATTTAAAAAACAGAAGAAAAAAACAGAACAAGAATAATGGCCGTCAAGGGGCTTCCCAATTTCAAGGCCCAAAATCTTAAAATTTAGGATATTTTATTAGACTAAAATTTGTTGGTCTGGTTTGGTTTAGTCTGATTTGGTTTAATCTGAACTGGTCTAATAATGGCTGGTTCCTATGTATTTTATAAGTATCCAAGTTTAGTCTGAACAGATCTGGTCTAATTTATTTTGGTCTGATTTGGTCTTGAACTAAAAATAGTCCAAGTAAAATAAGAACAATAAAAAAAGTACACCGTAATACTTATTCATAACTAAAAAATCCCATTTTGAAAGTGTGCAATACTTTATTGCACCATATCGTTTTAACTTTTAACTACCAATAAACAACAGAATAAAATTCATTTACTCAAGAAGAGGAATAAGCATAGGGAAAATTTTTAAATAGGAGTAAAAAAGTTTTAAAATAATGTTTTTATTTCCTAAATATGAATAATTTCTACCAAATTTGACATTATCAAACTTTAAGCATGTCAATTTCTGCAAAAAAAAAAAACCAATCTTGACAAAAATTATTCCTATTTAGAGAATAAAAATAGGACCTATTTTAGAATTTCAAAAAGTTTTTAGTTCTATTTGGACCAATTTCTAATAAACATAGTGTAAACACAACCTATAAGTCCTATATCAACCAATTAACTGCCTAAAAATATTCGGGGAATGCGGGTGTAGGTAAAATGCGACCATTATGCTAACCTACCAAATATCACACTATTTGTATTTCACACAGCCATGTATTGTCTATAAAATGGATACACATTATATATATTTGTGTCAATACGTAGTATAAAAAAGAAAAAACATCCGTGACATTATATCATCTGAAGTTTATAATACTTCAAAAGTTAAGTGGGAGGAGTCCGTGCATACAAAACAGCAGATGCACTGGTATGAATATTATAATGCTGTCATCCTTGTTGTCTGGTGCCATCTATGTATGCCTGTGGTGGGTCGGATTCGTATGTAACGGTACTGTTTGTTCTGGGACAACTTGAACAACATGAGGACGTTCTGCAAAGACATAGGTTTTGTTTCTTCATTCTTTAAGGAAAGCCAAATAATTCAAATGAACCAAAATAGACACATCAATCAGATTACCAAAACCCAGGACAAAAAACAAGCATTGGATGATTGGATCTTAGCGCCCTAGCATTCAGTCGAATTTCATCTTACAATGAGCACACAAAGAAACCACCTGATGTGTTGCGGAGATCCCAAAAGGCTTAAGATAGAAAATGGGTTTTTGATGATGCGTATTTGATAAAAAAACTTCATTGTTGCAATATACTACGGTATAAAGTATGCAGAAGGTTACCTATAAACACCAGACCAGATAGTAATGGCAGGGTGAAGGGAAGGGGAAATGTAGAATATTACTTATCCTTGTTTATGAGGGAATAAATTGTGGAGTGTAATTAGTGCAAGTGTAAGAAATTAAAATGACAAAAATAACCTCCACATGTGTTGGAAACAGTGACATCGATGTTCTTCAACAAAAGGCCAACTATCACCCCTTAGTTTTAAAAAGCGCACCTAGGTGCAAGGTGAGAACAGGCAATGGGGAAATCGCATTGCAGACCCTCAAACGCGCTAGAAATCCATAGGCACGCTATATGACCCGCTTTTTACGTATCATGGAGGCGGCCGCCTCTGGCGCCTCAGGGATAGGTAACTATTAGTTTTTTTCATGACTTTTGGCACTTCATATCCTACTTCCAGCGATTCTGTATTTGCTATATATTGACGGCATAAGCTTACCAGAATCCATCAAGCTCTTCTCTCTATTCTTACAATCTTACGCTTCTCTCTATGCCTCCCTTTTCTTCGGCTCCTCAGAATATATTTTTTCCCTTTTCATCTTTCTTATAGTTTTCTCTTAAATTTTATTTTTTAAAATTATCAGATAGTTTAAAGTGGTGTTCGAATTCATCAGAGTATATAAAAAAGTTTAATTTTTCTATTTATTAAACTGAGGTTGTCATATATCAATACAACATGAATAGGAAGATTGTTATTTTTTTTACTGTAAACAGTTTAATGAAAACACTAGCATCAAGACTATTAAGGGACGAAGGAAGCATTATTCTGTGTGCACTCTCTCCTCTGCACAAATCTCAACCACACGTTTTTTACTTTATTATTCCCTGTGCCGGTTAAACTTGGCCAAGTTTTAAGGGACGGGGGAAATATTATTTTTATTTCACCCCGGTCCCCCTCAATTGAATCCTGGCTCTGCCCCTGGCCTCACGCCTTGGGAAAATTAAACTAATAGGCATGGAACATTTTTTTAGACTTCCCATTCCCATTTCCCACATCCCAACTTGGAGTGTAGCCGTGTAGGCAAAGGGAGGTGAAGTGAGGATAAGGAATGGAACCTTTTGACCTTCTTTCCCAATGGCGGATACAAGGGGAGCAAGTTGGGGATCCCCCCATAATAACTTCAATTTTCTTAATAAGCATGTATTTGTATGCACTATTTATATGTAGCCGTCCATTTCCAAAAGAATATCCATAGGCCATAACTCAAGTGTAGATTCCTGCATCTAACAATGTCCACTTCCATCTTCCTCCCTCCTTACAACCCTCCCAAACAAAGGCCCAAACAAAGGCAACAATTTCCCTCCCATTCCGTTAGTTACCTTACTTACCTCTTCTCTTCCTCCCAACCAAACATCATATTAAAAGAAATATTATGCATACACATGGTTTAAGGTGTTTACAGGACAGGTATTGAGGAGCACCTCAAGGTGAGGCGTATAAAGAAGGCATCGAGGCTTAGGTGTTTTTGCACGACAAGAAGCTCACGCCTCAAAAGTCAAACTGTCTGCTTTGAGGCGTGCCTTGAGACATGTTTTGAGGCAATTTTCCTTTTTTCTATGCTTTTTTTATGTGGTTGCAACTTACAAAAGACTTGATGTATTTTATTTAATAAGACCCATGCATTTTACATGCGTCCATACTAAACCCTAAGAAGTCTTGTTTCATTTAAAATATTAATTTAATCCCTAACATGTACTTTCAATTAAGAAAGTCCTTAAAATATTTTCTTACTTTTGTATAAAGAAGTTCTCATACTGCTACACAAGTCACAACTTCTTACAAACGCTCCTCAGTGGAAAAGCTTCATTTCTTCCTGGTAACTTATGTTCTCTCTTCTTCTTCATCCCCTTTTCCTTCTCTTCTTCTTTTTCATCTCTTCTCCTTCATTGCTTCTTCTTCTTGGTGAACTGTTGGTCATGTTTTCCTAGAACTAGTCAAGGTTTTTTATAGTAATAATGGTGATGATGGTCATGATAAAATGATTCTTCCGAAGAGATTTCCGACATGATGATTAAGCTTCGAGATTTTTAAATTGTCATCTTTGTGATGTGTCTTTCTGTGTGTTTGAATTATCATGTTTGATGATGTGGACCATGTGGTCATATATGTGTTTGTGTTTGAGACTTATTGCACATTTGCACTTGTAGTTATGCATGCCTTCAGTTGGTTATTACTAGTTTAACTATTTTAAGTTTTACTTATTGGTCTATTTCGAGGCTTAAGCCTCGCCTCACTCAAACATACCGCCTCAATGCCTGAACTAGCATTTTGAAAACTTGTGCATATACTAATGGTGATAGGGTGTGAATGTGTGATAAAGGAGACTTTATAGACTTTCATGAAATTAGTATGAACCTACATTCTCCCGACACCGGTGGTTCTATGTTTTCCTTGATGCACACACAATCACTAATGGTCGAAGTGGACTTGAACGAAAAACGAGCGATGGCACAGACAAAAGACAATTCAAGGGACATGACAAATATTAATTATTAATTTCACATAGCTCCTTAACACAAATGTTATAATGGCCTCTCTGTTTTTTAGCATTCTGAAAAAAGATACCTATTTCAATCTGCTGGGGTGCTTTTTGAAGTATTTTCAGTTCAAAACAATAAGTTTGGCATTGTAGAGAAAACACTCAGCTATCACGGCAGTTGGGCAGCAAAGTTATTCAATGAGAAAATTACCCCTAATATTACTAAAACTCATGTTTTCCTAGATTTCCCCCCTAGAAATGCATGTTTCATCCACATCTGTGCACGCCACACATGTTTTTTCAACTTTTTTTAATTAAATTAAAAATACCCTTTTGCCTTGTCAGTTTGTATATGATTAAATACTTGGTTACTACTACGTATTTTTTAGCCACAAGCGAGTAGGCATCTAGAAATATAAGTAATTTTCCCTTATTCAATTGTCTGCCCGCAGCCCATAGCAATAGAACTAATAATAGCATCACCTCAAGGCAGAGAGAGCTATGGCCTCATCACAATCGCATCTAGAGACGATGACTGATCCAGTTCATTAACAATAAAGGATAGAATAAACAATCGAAAGATCCAATCGGAAAAAAAGCGCCCCCAAAGGGAAGTAGAAAAACGTAAAAAAAACTTACTGGAAAGAAAGTCAGCCTGGGCAGGAGTCAGCTTGGCAGAAAACCCGTGCGCTGCCGTCGTGTAATGGTACAAAATCTTCTCTTTCGCTGAAGATTCGTCTCTTTTCCCCAGCCAACATATACACAAATTAATCCATACACCATAAACATTCATTCCATACATACACTATACATTGAAAATGGAAGATAGAGACGAAGGGTAAAAATGCACCCGCCAAAGGCTTCTTTGAGGATGTTGATGTGAAAAGCTTCGTGACTTTCGTCACCCTCTTTAGGACTGGTGTAAACAATGTAGATCGCCGAATCCTCGGGTTTGTGGGCGTCGGACTGGAGACCGGCCATGGCTGCAATGAACAAGAATAGCAAGAGAGTGGTGGATAAATGCTTGCTTGTCGGCATCGGATTGCTATTTATTGTAGGTGATAATATTCGGATGATCAATGAAACTAAAGGATGTGCCAGTAATGTTTTGGGAATTTTTTAACACTGATTTGCTTAAGCTCGAAGGCTTGATTAAATATTCATTTTGAACAAGTTGCAAAACTAAACACCACAAGTCAAAAAGTAAAAAAGAATTAGCGTACAAGGGTGGGTAATTGGCCCTCCCTACTCTCGTGGGAAATGCTTACAAGTTACAGCCTTGCACAATTTAGGTAAAAGTTGTTGACACCGATTAGAATTTTGCTTTTGCCTAAACAAGTTAAAATGCTTTTGACTAAACAAGTCTGACCTGTTTTAGAATTAATAGGCATGAGCTTGACCTGTTACCTATTAAAGGCCTGTTTTTTCGGTATGAGTCTGGCCTGCTTAAAAGCCTGGTCTAGCCTGAAATCTGTTTAGAGGACCTGTTACGGAAAAATATTAAAAGTTCATAAAAATAAAAAATAAAAACTGAAAAATTATTTTAACCCGATATAAAATTTGTCTCCCAAATATTCACTAAAAAGTCTAATTAAACGATAGGTTTGCTTTGAATGTCTAATAGTACGTCAATTTTTTTAATACGTCAATTATGTAGCTTATAATTTTTTATAAACTTCAAAGCTTGAAAAATTTTAAATTTCAATTACCTTAATAACCTATTAAGACACTTTATATATTTGAAAAGGCTAGTATTCTAATTTATAATACATAATCCATAAAAAATACTATTATGCCTAATTTGCTATAGTTAAGTATACTAATATATAATTATAAATAATACAAATAAATTTAAATATAACTAAATATAAATTTAAAATACTGTTTAAGGTCTGACCTGTTTAATGATCAAACTAGACTCGGGCTTTTTGAAAAGCTAGTTTATTTAAATAAGTCAGGTTTAACCCAACTTTAAATCCTTTTTAGCGCCAGACGGTGTGTCAGGGTTGCCTATTTATATGTGTACTAGTTTTTTACACGCGCGTTGCGCGATCGACTAAATGCCCAATATTATATACATGGAGTATGCCATTATATACATGGAGTATGCCACTGGTTTCCTGCACAACATTTGAGGTCTTCATTAACTAATGGAGAAAAATGAAGGGACTTGCGGATATATTTGCTCCTAGAACCACTTAAGAGAAGCAACACCTTCTAGAATGTCCAGCCATAGGTGACCAGGGAATGTTCTGGGCAATTAAGGGGAAGCACACGTACAAATATACAAATTGATAAAAACAACACGTCAATGAAAATTGTACTTCTTAACGTAATGAAAATTGAAATCTGTTTTCGGCGTTGTTGCTACTGGCCATGACAAGAGGTTGACACTAAAGGTTAGTTTATACCTACCGTTTCCCTTGCACCATTTTCTTATGTTGTTTTTGTGATCAAACTTAACAAATATCAAGGTTAGCTATTTTTGTAGAGAAATGGAAAAATATTAAGGTACTTGTTTCCGTAATGAAATGAGGAAATTTAGATATTTTGAAGTCTAATTATTAGCAGATCATTGTTAGATGAGGTGTGCAATGGTAGAATCTAATACTTATAGTTTTTGATATTTTTTGTCTAAAATGCACGGTTCACATTTAGCAATCAAATAAGCAGCACAAAAAAAAAGGATAGAAGAAGCAAAAAGGGACTGAGATGATCAATCTGACTTATTGCAGCCATGACCTTATGACCAGATCATCATTTTATGGGTCTAGGATATAGTAGGTTTCTTCAAATGGATGCCAGAGTCAGGATACAGTAGCTATTCTTTGGGCTTAAGAAAATTAAAGATAACAAAGCAACACCTATACAGTAGTGCTTAACCAAGTTTAGAAGTTTGAAAGGTGATCCTTATCACGTGTTTGGTTGAATCAGTTAGGAATGACAACTCTGCCTTAAATGGAGAATAAAATAAACTCTATTCATAATTAACTAAGCAACCTTTTAATGAATCTCCAACACAGGGTTTCCCTTGTTCGAAAATCCACAAAGAATGTGGTTACTCGATCAATCAAAGAATTAATTCTAGAAATCATTTACTTTTTAAGCTAAATCTTAGCAGAAGGTTGGGCTAGGTATTTAACTAAGGTGGCTCAATTACAGTGGGGTCTATATGCTTGGAATGAGCTTTAAACAAATACAAATTAGGTGTTCTGCAGGACTGTGGGTGTTATGTAAACAGAAGAAGATTATACTGTAGGAATGTTAGTAAAAATGGGTAATGAAAAAGGGGAAAAATGTTAGTAAAAATGGGTTGGTCAAACAATAATAGGGGATGATAATTAAAATAATAAGCGCACAATGAGTAGCCTTCAACACAATCAGTAATCAGCAAACCAGAATAAAAGAGAATCCATACATAGGTACTATACATTGGAAAGTGCAAAATTATCTTACCCCCATATGAAAAAAGATGAGATGAAATTGCCAATAATCCTTCCGGCCTATACAAAGGTTTTAAAATAAAAGCAAATAGAAGCTTAAATTAGAATCTGAAAGGTGGAGAACTGAAACAATACTAACAAAGTAATTAATGAAATCACATGTATCAGTTAAGTCAAGTCATTGTCAGTTAATCAGTTGACATTTGCAAATTCAGAATAGTTTAGAACAATAAATAATCCTCCTGGATACATTTTCTCCTTAGAAATGGGAAAACACTCTCTTCTGAACAACATAAACAGGCATTAAAAAATCCTGCCTACTTTACTGTTCAGAATGCAAGTTCTCTAGGTTTAATCCAAAACGAAACGCCACTCTTATGTCCACAAATTATTCAGTTTAACCCTGTGAGTATATGTATGTTTTTATGCTCCATTGGGCTACACTTCGAGTTCACTAAATTTGATTTCATTAGTCAATCAAGCAAGAAAAAAGGGTTGGACAACATTCATTTGGCACTACTACTAATATAATTCTTCAGCATATAAACTGAGGCTACTGATGTCAATGACAATATTTAAGAAACATGTGCTAAGTTTACTATCCCAATTGTTTTTTCCACTTTCAAATGAAAACTGATATTACGTGTGAGAGTAATAATATAAGAGCTCTATGCTCAAAGCATGTATGTGGACCTTACTGCAACACCATGTGCTCAACTTCCTGGCAGCAGCAGCACCCTAAAATTTCATCTTAGTTATTATAATAAATATATCTTCTAAATGGTACAACTATTAGGAGATTGTAAAACATCCCAGCAGACTACCCAGGGGCAGTGAACTTATAATATGTGTGCATAAGTTAATGTGATTATAGGTTTAGTAAAGTGTTAAATTTAATATGTAAAGGCAGTAAAGTTTTGATTCAGGCAACATCGAAAAGAAATCTGACAACTCATTCTGAGAATTTCCGAATTTATTCATTGTTTCCTCAAAGGATTAAATGATCAAGCAACGAACTTGTGGAGCAAGTATCAGGAACACACTAAGCGATCACGCATATAAATACAAAGGAAACAAGGGGACAGAATAGTGATACACCTGAATCTGTGAAAGGAAGTCATATTCCAACGAAAATAAGCCCAGGTTACTGGTAAGAGGTGTGTGAATTGATCTCGCCTATGGTGAATTTCAAAAAGCGAGTAAAAATGTTGGAAGCCTGTAATCGTATCCTGGAGAGGAGAAGGTTCGATGTGTAGGTAGAAAGAAATGAAACAGCTCCATAAATGTCAGAGTAATAACACTTCAACAAAATAAAAAGAAAACGTACAGAGAAACACGAAGAAGACGAAAGGATTCGAGTGGGGATGTGCGGCGGGATGCCCTTGTGCGGCTAAAGACGAAGCCTGAGTCCCTTTTTTCGAAGATCACTGGCCTGGTCTTTGATTCGATCTAAGAGAATGTTCTGTTCGGCTAAAGAGACAACGAGAAGCCGAACAGTGTCGGGCCTTTGGGAATATTTAACGGCGACAAACGGCAGTAGGGAGACAATGCTAAACGGGGTTTAAAGTTTACAAGCATCTAAACATATTGTACATGTCAATTAAGCTTAGGGTACCACCAACAAAAATTTCATACCCACAATACCCTAACTCTCATTGAGGCCTATTAGATTGTAGAGATATATGTTTGTATATATATATAGAGGATTATTCATGTCCCTCCCTTCCTGACTGGAGTGCCGTCCGGCCTCCTCCTTTCGAGGAGGTTCCCGGTGGTATTTTTTGCTCAAATTTTTTGTGTATGTTCCTCATCAAGTATAGTTCATCCATACAAAATTTGAGAAAAAACCTTCATCGGGAAGGCCGTCAAATGATTTTTGAAAGTTAACTGGTCCGGAATATACATATAAAACGCAGTTAACTCTCAAAAATCATTTGGCAGCTTTCCCGATGGAACTTTTTGCTCAAATTTGGTATGGATAAACTAGACTTGATGAAGAACATACACAAAAAATTTGAGCAAACAATACCACCGGGAACCTCCTCGAAAGGAGGAGGCCGGACGGCGCTCCAGTCAGGAAGGGAGGGACATGAATAATCCTCTATATATATATATATATATATATATATATATATATATATATATATATATATATATATATATATATATATATATATATATACACAAACATATATACACATATAAATAGGCAACCCTGACACACCGTCTGGCGCTAAAAAGGATTTAAAGTTGGGTTAAACCTGACTTATTTAAATAAACTAGCTTTTCAAAAAGCCCGAGTCTAGTTTGATCATTAAACAGGTCAGACCTTAAACAGGTCACAGGCCTCTGACACACCGTCTGACCTATTTCCACCCTTAGTTGTACACAAATACATGACAAATTATATTATGGATTCATTACGATATCAAATCGTTTGTAACAAAAAAATCAGAAAAGAGCTAGGTAGGTTCTCCTACTGTACTCAAATCATTACTTAAACACAAATGGGAAAACTGTCAATTACGCCCTCGTATTATAGGCAAACCGTCAATTACGCCCTTGTACTTTAGAAACAATCAATTGAGCCCGCCAAGTCTCCAAAAACACTCAATTAAGTCTATGTTACCGGTTGTCTCCCGGTTTGCCTGTTGCTCACTGACATGGCCGCTTACGTGGAGAACATTTACCCATCT